AATTCAGGGTGGTTTTTGCACCCCAGCTGAGTCTGCCAGGAAATCCCCTGGAGCCAGCCCAGAAATCCTCCCCCCACCCCCGCCCGCTTGGAGGAGATGCCAAAGAGGTGGGAATTGGCACCGCCGTCAAAGGGGGGCGGGGACACAACAGGGAGGAAGCATCTCCCCCCCCCCCCCGTCAACTTGGCCTCGGCAGCTTCCAGGCCCTCCTCGCCTGGCCAAGGGGCCAGCTGTTGCTTTTCTTGGGGAGCAGGCCAGTTTTCCAGGCCTTGGGTGGCCCCGCCAGGGCCGTGGGCACCACCACACCTGTGGCCAAGGTCCCTGTGGCACCGCAGGTGGGTATTTAAGGCTCAGGATGGGCTGAAAGCCACCCAGGAGAAGATGCTGCCGCTGCTGATTTCCGTCCTGTTGGTGGCCAGTGGTAAAGAGGCATCCCTTGCCCTCCCCCTGCCCTCCCCTCCCCGGTCTCCTAGCCCTTTGCCCTTGTCTTGCCTCTGCTCCTCGGAGAGGTAAGTCCCTGGCCTCCATGCGCGGGGTCTCAGCCCCCTCTCTTCTCTTCCGCAGCCGCTGGGTGTGGGCAGCCAGCCTACCCTGCCCACAGCCGCGTGGTGAACGGCGAAGACACTGTGCCTTACAGCTGGCCCTGGCAGGTAAGGCGGGTCACTCCTCCCCCGTCAGACGCCCTCAACCAGCACCCCAGAGGCGGCCATCCCAGGCCTCGAGCCAAATGGACTGGACCGGACAGCTGGCAATTGGGCTGCCATCCCAGCGTCTCCAGAAAAAGCCCGGCCTGAACACGGAGCCGGCTGGCACCAGGTGTCCTTTTAGGGTGATGTCTCCACCTTCCCTCTCTGTCCTCCCGCAGGTCTCCCTCCAGTACGAGAAAAATGGCGCCTTCCATCACACCTGCGGAGGGTCCCTCATCGCCCCTGACTGGGTCATGACAGCTGCCCACTGCATCTCGTAAGTGTCCGGGACACGGCTGGAGCATCGCCTTCACTCTGGAGTCCAGAGGGGCTTTGAATGGAGAGCCTCCCCTCTCCCTTTCCTTCCTTCCTTCCTTCCTTCCT